GAAAATAGTAAAATCCAAAAAAAATACCTTATATGTAACACGTAGATACGTGAGTACTGCGTTTTATTACAATTTCGTCATACCATCGTGATGRCTTTTAAATGTAGGTTAGAATCAAAATCGAACCGAATTTTGCAGCGTTTATTGCGTGGGTGGTATGTATAGGTACATTTAACCTTATACCAATACTAACTGCTTTTGTTTCAAAATAAAACATTGAAGACTGCAGGTTGGCTTCCGACTTGTGCCGGTCGCACGTCGTACGTGCAACGAAAGATAAGTACTCTCACGTAACCTCGAAGAAAATACCAAAAGATTTTGTTGTTTAAGTTCAGAACCATGGATAATCGTCCCGGCCTGCGAATATTTGCAGAGAGCCTTAGTTTTTATTTCGTACAAATACATCGATAACGGTTCGTTGCCGTGCATATTAAAATTAAAAAGTCGATAAATATTATTATTAGATATTACTATTCAGTATTCTGACACTGCATGCGTTGTAAAAATGCGTGGTTACCTACCGAGTTTGCGGAGATGTGTTACAACTTACAAGTTGTATAAATTACTTACTGACATAGTTATTATTCCATTGGTTCGTGAAGGCTATACGCACAATTTGAATATTAGCCTAAACTTTTAAGTCGATGAGGAGTTTATTCTAAATAAATAACCATTTTACCGAGAAGATAAAAATAGTTGTAAGATTTTGCAAAAATACCAAAAAAATTGTTTTTTATTGAGTTAGGAACGACTTGTTTATTACTCGTCAGATGGTAGAAGGTGTAGATCGTTTCGGCAAATCGTACCAAAATGTGTTCTGTCAATAATTATAAATCAATTGGGAGAATGTTTATTCCACAAGAAATATCGCGTAGGTGAATAAGAGGGTACCGTCTATGAATAGGTAAATTAATTTTTATATTATAATATTGTAAACCTAGTAATATATTATATTGTCGATTGAAAAATTAAGCAACTTATAAAATATATATTAAAAAATAAAATATAAATATAAAATTCTTAATTTTGAAAAGATATTGGTATATTGGTATATTGGTATAATATCGTACGATCTTTCATCGGCTCTTCACTCTATTATATAGCACCAGGTGGGTGTTAGGCAATCACGACCTCATTGTTTTATTGAATGTTATGTTTTGTAATGTAATTTTAATCATTTTTATTCAATAAATGAAATTGCATCGGGATGGGGATAAGTAGTGTGCAAATGGTTCACTTCCGTGTGGTGATGATACCACCAGGAAAAAAAATTAAATATACATTCAATATTAAAAAAAAAAAATTCTAATTAATAAAAAAATCATATACGAATAATATAATGCAAACAATTAATAACGTTTATTATGCTGATTTTTAAAAACGTTTGCATTAAAATCACCAAGTATTTATCTTATGCAGTTAAAAATAATTTCACTCACACCCAAATGGTATATAATATGATAGTCACCCAAAACTGACTATTAATTTTGGTTGACATACGATTCCGCACGATTACCTACCCGAATTCCGTATACATTATCGTAATACAAAAGATATTTTTATTTAACCCAAATTTAACACGATTCCGCATAAAAATCGTTGCAACGTTGCCAGTTATAATGTTGTTGAAGTAAAAATAAAATCATACAAAAATAGTCAAATTAGTTAAAATACATAATAATTTAAATAAGTACCTAGTTAATTAAAAATATATAAAAAATAAGTATATGTGAATAATAATCGCGAATAATAATTAATAGTCAAATATATTGTGAATAATCGTAGTTAAATTAGTTAAAATAAATAATAATTTAAATAAGTACCTAGTTAATTACAATTTTTTTCCTTGATATCGAGGACCAACTTGTGATAAAAATTGAATGATATCAATTTGATTTGTTTCATACTTATTGTATGCATCTATGGTGAATTCCATACGTTATTTTTCTTTCKCGTTCAATATTTTTGAATCATTATATTATAAAGTAATTGATCTTATTTTAGTTTCGGTTTCCGACTGAAATTCCATCAATACTTATATAACTAAATAAATATGTGGATTAGAGTGATACATTTGGCCGTTATATGTGTGATGAAAGCTTTCAGAACCATTAGTTGTTCTATAAAAGTATAAGTAACTATTTTAATAAAATTAAGATTTACTTTTATTTTCATTTAAAAAAATTAATTTTACCTCGGACTCATTGAAGGATTTTCTGCCCACAATTCTGGTGGAAATAAGTATTGATCTTCAATGTAATTCTTCAAAATATAGTCTGAGAACAAATATTCTGCAGAATCGTTGGGGCAAATACTTATAAGTTCGGCGAATGCTTCATTTACTTCATGACATGCAAGGAAAGGTAAAGCGAAAAATTGCTTTAACCACTTTCCGAGTTCATCATTTGAATTCATATATGCTTCTCTTAAACCAGATTAACTTTGAATCTAAAAAAAAAAATGTTTATAAAATAATTAAATACATTTATAAAATGTAGGTAGGTATAGGTACATTATTGTTACTATCCTTACGCAACCAAGATTGTCCTATGTGAAATCTACAAGCCACTATTTTTACATTCGGGAAAACAGATAGGACTGCCTTATGTGCACTAATTTCAAAGTCCAGGTGTATTATTTTTATATTTAATAATTTATCGCTGATTTCTGTGCAAAGTTGTCGAAAATAATTCCATAAATCTACGCAAGTATTTTGAGTTTTGTCTTTTAAAAAATAAATATATTAGTGGTAAATAAAATCCATTTCTATAACTATATATTGTGTACAGCTGTAAAAAGTACTTAAGTGAATAGTCAAATGTTCCATCACAAAATAATTCTGAACCAAATTGAGTCAAGAAGTTAATATTTTGAATAGTTGTAAGGCAAATAAAATTTTTATCTGCTGCAGCATAGATAAATTGTTGATTTTATACGTGAAACATTTATCAGTTTTTAAAATCCTCAGTTGTTGTACAGCGTTATCTAATGATGTTGGAAGTACAGAACATTTTTTTCTTCGTTGTTCATACATTGCTTTGCTAACGGATTTAATATCCTGGTGTCTAATTGCCGATGATTCTGGAGTTTGGAGTAGGTAATTCTCTGCGAATGATTTTGATAGGTTTACTGAAAATTGATTCCTCTGCTTGTCGCTTACAGTTTTCTCTGAGTAGTTGTTTTTCTATTTTATTAGGAGTGTCAGCCGGATGACTATATATACCTTTTGAGTCGAGTACTATTTTTTTTTCTGAATTTTAAATAATAAACGCAGTGAAATTTTTGTCAGAAGAGCAGCGCTACTTTAAAAGTTAAACACCAACAAATCTATGTTTATAACCATTAACAACGGCAAGTTCCTTATTTCTCTCGGGCACTATTATACGAATTTTTGAATTTTTTAAATTATTCATTTTAAATTCTAAACTCACACACGGTTTAAAAGTCAACGGATAACAGTAAAACACAATAATGCGATCGCAATATACGTACGAACAGATATCGAAGAGGTAACTGATGCGTCCAGATAAAACATATATGTAATAAACTGCAGACTAATCAGATAAGCTAGTATTTAGGGAAAAACCAAAATAATATAATATTATATTACTTATTTTATGTAGCATTAATACCAACAATTTTTAGGTTTAAAATAATTTTTATAATACAATCGACAACGTCGCAAATTAGTTTCGTGCGGAATCGTGTGAATGAAAAGGTATATGCGGAATAATATTATAATGCGGAATCGTGAATTTACCATTCTGATTAACACAGGTATTAGGTACTAATACTATTGTATTGTCTGTGGAGAATCTAAAACTGAAGATTTTCAAATCTTTGAAGAGTTTTTTTTCAACAAATAGTTTTATTTTACCCAGACCAAAGCAGATAAATATAGGTATAGGTTATTATACAATAACATAATAATATAATATATATTATTTTTTAAGTTCAGGTGGTTGAAATATAATATGTAGGACGTAGATATTATACTATAGTTGGTCATGAGACAAATTGTTAATTTTTGGATTCAAGAGTTTGATGAAATTAATTGTAAAAACAATATATTTCTTAACTAAAAACTGTATTTTTAAAAGTATTAATTACTTGATGTTTTTTGTTTACACCCTGATTTTTAATCTTATTTTATTGATAGTAATAGTTATATTATTATATCTGTACAAAAAGACCAATATTTTAAGATTTAATTTTTTAAATTAATATGTTTTTTGCGAACGCATATGGCATAAAAGTTTTTAAAATTACAGTTTATATTTTAACTCCATGTGTATAAAATTACTAAAAAAGTCCACCATCTTGTTTTACCGTTAACAACAGCTAGCACAAGGATATCAGTACACCACAATAATAGTCCACAACAATTCTTCAACTGTTTGACAGATTGTATACTGGACTGAACAGAACGGCAGATGTGACCAACCATTTGTCCAAAGTTGTTGAGATAGGACGAGAGTTGTGGAAAGCATTTTAATTAATTTATACAAAAGCTTCTCGGATAATGAAAAAAAAAAAATATATTTAATGTATGTGTATTTATAAATAATGAAGTAGAGAACATGTTTTAGATGAATCGAGCCAATGATTGATATTTATTAAACAATTTCAAACAATAAAACAATACAATTAATTAAATGGTATAGTATATTGGCTATAGTTGCCTAACATACACGTTTAACGTATTATATAAATCATTGTATCCACGTTAAATTATGAATGAAATAACTAAATTAAAGTTTCACGTTATTTATTATWTTATGAAGTTATAATAATACATACATCTTATAGATTATAGAACACTGAACATTATAGTACTATAGGTACATCCACCTAAGATTTTAGGTACTGTTTATATTCTTTAGAATATMACGGGAACAAACAATGAAAAATCATCCTATTATGTCCATTTTATCACGAATTATTGTAATTCATACGCTACAGAAATATTGAAATTAATATATTATACTTTGTTATTTTAGGATTGGACACTACAGATAAAATACGTTCAACTACGAGATGCCGGTTTGTACGAATGTCAAATATCATCACATCCACCGAAAAGCATTTTTATCAATTTAAAAGTTGTCGGTAAGTAGTCAMGTCGTTTATCTCTAGCAAATGAAAATCATATTTAAAACTGTAAATGCGCTTAATATTATAATATATAATTTTGATCATAAATAATTAATGAACATAAATTTGTTTGCTATATTATTATTAATTATATTTCTACTCATATTGTGTAATGAACAATAAAAAAGAACTGTTAATTAAATTTAAAACATGATAAATTATAGGAGTTGAATACGACGAAATACCTTTTACCCATATTACCTACCAAAACAAAAGAATACGCGTTTTAAATGTATTAAGTAAAAAAACTCGTGTTTTTCAGTACCTAATTAAATATTAAATTTTTTATTTTTGTATTGTTAGGAAAAATGTAATCGTACAACTGTAAAAGTAGGATCCTGAATTGTACCCATTAACAAATTGTTAATGAGCAGTTTGATGGTAGTGAGAAATGTGGAAAATTAATCTTGCAGCAGAAATTTCGTAGAAAACAGTTTATTTTATTTATAAATATTATAAATTATTTTAAAAATGACAGCATATTTTGAGAGTATAATATTTCTGATAAGGCCGACTTGATAATTATAGTTTTCTATAATATGGTTTGAGTTCAAGACGAATTATATGTTTTAATTTTATACTTCAGAGCACTTATTATGAAAATGTTGGTGTATGAAATACATTAAATTATATTGAATTGTTTGATTTGTGCTCGGAGTTAACAATTGTTGATCGAAGAACTGCGCACGGCAAATGTTTTGATCGTATAGCGCCCGAAATTGTGAGAAATATGCAATTCAAATACGTCGGATCTGATGCTCCTTGAAAATGACTGGGAGGAAATTTAACATCTATGTGTCTGATCACGAGTCCGTGGTGTGCGCTGTATCGGCGATGATGGCGGACACACATAAATAGACGCATATGTCACAAAGGAACGGAASAAAGGGAATATTGGAAATTCAGGCTAGTGTTTTATGGAGGGATCCTCGAGGTCGGTTCGGTATGGTGCAATGACTGTCTAGGCTTACAGAAATCGGCCCATTCTTACATACTACCTACTTAAAGTTACTTAAATTACAGTATGTGATGGACCAATCCAGTGAGCAACACAACTTGACGACCTGGGCGGCCACACACACACAACACTCACTGGGTTGCTGGCGGACGCTGAGTTCTCTGGCTCCAGTCCCAATCTTTGGTGATAGTTAGATTCCACAGTAGTCAGTAACCGATGACGTTTGCAACAAGGTGATAGTGGTGAAAATTGAAACCAATACGTGGTACTTACTGTACTTGTCCGCAGTCTCGCAGAGGTAGATAGCAAGGTTTGAATCGAAGTGGTATAAAAATGAACACAGACACAATGTATGTATATAATATGTAGGTATGTATATTGTACCTAAATGGCAGCGTACATCAACCGTCGATGATGAATGAATCACCGACTTAGGTTTGCTGTAATAACGAAAACAGTTAATTTGTAATACACAATTATATTCTGCCATAATGGTGAAAATAGATAATTTACAATAGAAAGGTATTCGAAAAGGATTTTTATACTCGTAATAACATAAAATGGATAATTTTTTTTTTAAATAGTGTTTAAAACATTTACATTTTTAAAATAGGGGATGTTGCTTTATATTTCGATTTCAGTATTACGAAATTCTCGGAAAAAATTGGTAAAATGGTCGTTTGTCATCGGTGACGGAGAGGTACATAATAGAACAATAATTTAATAATAACCCAAAATCAGAAACACCATATTATAATCATCTAACCACGGGGATCGGATGCGAGTCAGGGAAAATTATAATATTATAATTATGCAGTTTCATGGCACGTGCAGCACCGTAGGTTGTCGGTGGATTGTTGGAGATAAAAATGGGTATTGGGTTTTAGTTTCGATTTTTGTTGGAACTACGAAATGTCCATTATGACATTATCGTGGGCTTAGTAAGCTGCAATTAGCGTTTGGTGTATTATAAACCCTAAACCGTCACTTTTAGCTGTTATAATATGCGTTCGATAAAAAAAAAAAAAAACTGAAATTGAAATTGATGAATCTCGAACGACCGAAAAATGTCCTTTTGACTGGCCAAGTTATTTTATTTTAATCCACTCGGGATTCGAGTACGACGTTGTGCAGTCACCGGGCTGGAATGATATAAGCATAATGCGTCTTGCTGACACTGATCTCCGTTATTCTTTAGCTTCGGTCTCCGAAATGTAAATATATTATAATTATAAGATACACTAAATATATTATATACTAATAATTTATGCATATTATAGTGGATGTGTTACTTACTGAAATCTTTAAGGTGTTAATATGGGAAATATTAAAACAAAATTATTTAAGATAAGTGAAAATTTGAATTATAAATAATATTTATAAATTTGTATACCAATTTAAACTTACCTAAAGCAGTTATGGTCCTTATTCATTACTTTTATTAGTTGTTTTGTAGTTACGAAACTTTACTGACAGCCTATTAGAACGATGACGCAGATTTAGCTACTATTACACCTAGTACTGGTGTGATTTTAGAAATATTCAATATGATTTTGTAATAGCATACCAACTAATGACACTRACTGGACCACCTTTAGTAAGATTCATTGAATTGGTATTTACGATTATTTGAATTTTTCATTTAGTTTTCTGTACTAAGATATTTAGAGGATGACAGTGAAACACACTATTCGTATTACACGATTATTATGTTGTGTTATAAGATGTACTCGTATATACGTATATTAATAGCGGTGCACGATAAAAGTTTCGTACCTACTTTTGAGAATTTAAAGTTACAACGACCGTATTATATTATAAGTATTGCTGCAGTCCAGACTTGCAATATAAATTCCCACATGATATTATCTTAACCATGGGTTAATATAATAACGTAAACCATCCGTCCTAAGTCGTTGTACATATTATTATCATTTATCATCTACCATAATATTATAATGATGTATGGTAATGGCCGACCCGGAAATGTCTATCATTACGCCGACGGACGAGACGTGATGTGCCACGCGTTGTTGTGTATGTATGTACACGCGCTTACCTAAATAAATATATTTTGTATCTTAAACATTTTTATCATATAAACTTCTCAAAATATCTCAAAATTCTCCCTCTCCTATAAAAGTGAATACTTATTCTCGAAAATCTTGCCATCATGATAAGCGATTTTTGGAAGTTCATATAGTTTTTGAGTGTTTCTTATAGGCCACTAATTATTTATACAAATTATATCTAATAGAAAATAACTTTAAGCTGGCGAAATTTTAAACTTATAATTATCAAAAATTATAGTTATATAATTTTRCTTAAATGAAATTTAAAAACTTAATAATATTACTAATTAATTAAAAATAATTTTTCAAAATCAGTGTAAATATTTTTGTGAATTACTCGTATTATTTATTTTACTATTAAAATGTAAGTTAATACTTAAAATATACTTAAAAATTAATATGTATCATTATTAAAATTGTATTTTATATTTTTATTATTATATTGCTGAAAATAAAAATAAAAAATTGGGTCAGTGGATGTCACTCAGCTGTGCAGTTTAATACAAGTGGGTCACTGAAATTAATGGTATTAAATTTGAATTCAATGATATAGCATCATTGTAGATGAAATACGGTTCTAAACGGAGACGATTTATCAGTATAAGATATTGTAACTAAATAATTTATACATTTGAAATTTAATAAATGATGTCAACATTTTAACGTTAAATAGTTATATAGGTATATATAAAAAAACGTGCCTATGTATTTTTAATATTTTCCATATGCTTTATATTAAATTTTTTATAACTGAAATAAAATAAAATGTTGTTACTGAACTATTGTAAGTAATGATATTTTGTCTAGGAAAAAAAATTAACTATTTGATAACATAACAATATTTTAGATTCTGGATATTGATTTTTTTAAATTTGTTTTGTTTTTGTTTGATAGCCATTTATAGAAGACAAAATACTCTAATCATCAACTTCAAAGGAACCTTTTTAGGTTGATATTTAGATAAAATCTTGTACTTTGGTTGGTCAACCTAAATTTTAAAATTACCAAAAAAATGTTGTTGAATTAATTGTTAAAAATGTAACAATGCTATAAAAATTATCGTTTTGTAATCTTGGTTACCTACCAACATATTATAGACTGTCTTTGCCTATGTACATTTTCATTCTATACAATGAATTAGGTATTATTGAATTAAAATTTAAAGTATCGATTTCTGTGTTCTACTCAATGACGTGGTACAATCGATATCTAATGTTCAAGCATTATCATAGCGGTTACTTACTAGTTACTAAACTTTTTTTTTTTTAGATATTATTATTATTTTATTCAAGGCACTTTCTGATGATTTCATATCTATTATATACACGTACAAACACAATACAATTAGTTTATTTTGTAAGTATGGTTATTGGGTTGTGTTATAAGATTAAAAACGTTTCAGGGAGCTTAAAAAATAAAATGAACAGGGGCAATAAACATATTACAGAACAATTTTTTTCTATGTAATATAAGTAAGTTTGTTAGTAAGTTTAGCATGGGTCTAGGGAAGATAATGTACGGTTATTGGTAACGAACAAAAAGGTTACTGGCACGTCTTTCATTAAGTAAAATTAAATCATGATTAGAAATATAATACGTCTATCAAAACTAAGAATTCTCTTACTTTATATGATTTGAAACGATATAAAATAAATATTTTTTAATCCTTAAAAAAAAGTTACTTTTTTATATTATTTGCTTACCAAAAACTAAAAAATTGTTACAACTTTTATATATTTTTACTGTTTTATATGTCATAATAATATGTGTATGAACTGTTTAAGATGGCAAATTATATAATTTTACGGTTCTAAGTTTCCATTGGTTATAAAAATGTATCCAAAGTTATAAGTTATATATCCAAACACTCTTGTTTTATTTATTAGATGTATTACTATAAATATTACTATAAATGCTCTTATTTT